CACGCCCTCAGGCTGCAGGAACTCTCCATACCTGGGGTGTGACCCAGGAGGTGGTCAAGGAGCTGGCTCCTGTGCCAGCAATGGCCCCAGGAGACCTGGAGCTGGGGGTTGGCACGACGCCTGTCTTCTGACTCAAGACCCAGCGGCTGGGAAAGCAGCCCTGAGCTGCTCCCCCTCTGGGCTCCTGGATTCGGGGCCTGAGCTCGATCCTTGGGTGGGAAGGGGCTGTACCCCTGGTCCCACCCCAGCTGCCCAGCCCTGGGCACCTCTCTGCCCATGGATGGATTGGCACCTGGGGGAGCCCGAGCAGGTCCGAGGCACCGGGAAGCAATGCAGACCTTGTCCAAGCCTGGAGCTGCCCGCGCCTCCCCCTCACGCACCCCTGCTCTCCGGCTGCTGGGGAGGGAGCGGCTCCACGGGGTGTGGTGGCTCAGACCCAGGACTCCCGCTACCGAGCTGCCGCCGCCGGTCCAGCGGGCCAGGCAGAGGGTCGGCGGGGACGGCGGGGCCCTCGGCCAGAGGCCGGGCCAGCAGCAGCGGGCCAGTGGCAACAACACTGGCAGCGCGGAGTGGGGAAGGCCTGGCCGGCCACCCAGGGATGCGGGCGGGCTGAGGGGCGCGCCTCGGCCGCTCGCAGAAGCGCTGACCGTGGAGGAAGCCCAGTGGGCAGGAGGGCAGGAGACGGCGTCCTCGGGCCCTGGACACCAGGGCCAGCACGTGGGCTGGGAGGGGCCGTGCCCAGCAGCCCTCCCTCTCTCCACGGGGGGGGAGGAGCCGGCACCGCCCAGCTGCCCGCAGAGCCGGAGCCGGAAGCAGCTGTTTCCTCAGGTTCAACCCTGGATCCGACGGGTGGCGTGAGGGCCCGGCCCCTGGGGAGGGCAGCGAGCGGCCACTCAGCCCTAGCCTCGCCGTCCTGCCCGCCGCCTGCGCCCGGCTCTCAGCACTGGGCTGTCCGGCGTGTGGCTGCAAAACTCACCCCCAACTGTCACAGAGGCCCGTGCCCCCGGAAAAGCGGTTTCAGGGAAGCTGCCCCCGGCGCTAAGCAGCAGCAGGGCCCGGGACATTCACCGGGGACAGCGCAGACCAGGGCGGTCCGGCCCCCCGCAGGCTGGACGCTGGCCCAGGCTGGTGCAGGCAGCTGGAGGAGCAGGGCCGGCTGCCGCCCCTCACCACCACCTGCGCCCACACCCTCCGCCATCAGATCCAGGAGGGGGGCGGAGGGGACATGGCCGAGGAGACGGGACGTCTCCCTGGTCCCTCGTCTCCTGGACGAGGGGGCTTCATTCTCCCGGCAGGAAGGTTGCATGGGGGGGCAGTGTCACGGAGGTGGCAGTGCTCCCCCATTTTGTGAGGGTGAAGGGTTTCTTCCCGCCCAGTGGGGGGCCCAGCCTTGCCCCGCAGACCAGGGCCTGCTTTCAAGGAATGGCGCGTTTAAGCCAGCGCAGGGCTCACAGAGCCACCTGCCCTGGGTCCCCTCGTGCACCCCCCCTTCTCCACCCACTCCCCACCTCACTGCCCATCCTGGGGACAGTGCTTCCTTCTGTCTGTCCCTTCTGTGGCCCAGACCCACCAGCCAGGGCTGCTCCTTGGCCTCCACCCGGGGCTCAGGGACACTGTCTCGACCGCACGTCTCTGGGGCTGCCCGCCCCAGGTCTGCCGGGAGGACAGAGCAGGGCCTGCTGAGCCGACTGAGCGGGCCCCAGCGGTGGGCTGACATCGGAGGCCCGAGCACTCGTCCTTGGGTAGGGGCCCGAGGGGCTGGGACGGGCCCAAGACCCGGGAGAAACCGCCCTGGGCACCCCCTGCGCCGGCCGGACTGCGGAGTAACTGAGAACCAGAGAGAAGCTGGGGAGGCGCACAGCGGGAGCACAGCAGCTCCCCAGGACAAGGGCGGGCCCGCAAGCCTCCTGTCCCCGGGACAAGGGTGGGCTCCTGCCCCGACATCACATCACAGGTGGCAGGTGCTTCCCGGTGGAGGTGGTGGTGGTGGGGTCCTTGGATCTTGCGGTGGTTTTGAGAACAGGCTGTGCGCCTGGCGCCTCCACTGTCCCCAGGCTCTGCAGCCCCAGGCCAGCCCCCAGCCATGACACTCACCTCCAGGTCAGGGTGCACCAAGTTCCCCACAGCCCCTCCTAGGCACCCTGAAAACCTGTACTCCTCACGCACTGGGGAGCCCGGAGCCTGGGCTTCTGCCCTTGCAGCCAGGCGGAGGGCATAGGGGCCTGAGGAGGCCGGCGACAGGCTCACCTGCCCTCCTCTTCTGCAGGACATGCTGCCCAAGGGGGCGAGGCCTGCTGGGCTCCCCCACTGTGGCCCTGGGGTCCTGGAGGTAGCAGACACTACCTGTGTAGGGTGCTGCTTCTCCTCCCTGCACCCTGGGCGCCCCGGGGCTGAGTGGCTCTCCCCTGGGGTGGAGCTGGAGCCCACCGAGTGACCGCCACTCCCCAGAGGAGCCACGCACAATGGGGATCTCTAGCAAGCTGTCGGCCTTTGGGGTACACTTTCAAGGGGCACTGTTCTGTCCAAAATTCCCATGTCACAGAGAGACGCCAGAGGGAACATGAAGACATGGGTACCGAGGGCAGGTCTGCGATGGAGCCCCACCTCCTCATGGGGTTCTTTTAAGATCCCCCCATCATTTCCCCTTGCTGTTTGGGGTTGTGCAGGTGCACACAAGTGTGCACATGTGTGCACACGCTGACGTGCACATTCCGGCGGCCAGCTGCTTCCCACACGCAGCCTCAAGGGGGATCTGGGCAACAGCACAAACCCTGAGCTCATCTTGGGGGTCTGGGTGTCCCTGACACCTGTGTGACTAGGTGGGGGGACGGGGCCCCCAAGAGCAGGTTTTCCGGGTCTCAGCTGGGTGGAAATGTGCCAGGCCAGGCCGGAACCCAGGGCCACGGCATGTGCCCAGCAGACAGACCGAGACCCGGGGGCTCCTGGCTCCTGTGAGAGCCCTGTTCTTTATAAAGAAGCAAAAGGGGTTCGGGACTCCTGCCCAGGAAACTGTCCTCGAGGCTTCAAGGCTCAGGTCAGGCGAGGGGCCAGGCACGCTGACGGACTGGCCTGAGCTTCGGCCAGGGGGTCCAGTCCCTCCACGGCCCCGGCCGACAGCAGACCCCACAGTGGGCCCCCAGGCCCCACCGCCCCCGGGACTCCACGCACAGGAAGCTGGGAACAAAAGGAGGCAGACCAGGTCCTCAGCGTGTGGGTGGTTTATCTGTCTCCACGCAGTGAGTCTGTCCACGAGCTCAGCGTCTGTCTGGACAGTCCCGCACTGGGCTACTCCCGCCAGGCACCCGCAGCGGGCAGAGCTGGGCAGATGCAGCCGCCCCGGCCCGGCCCCAGTCCGCCCCCCAACACAGCAGCTCTAGAGACAAACACCGCTGTCCTCACCACACAAGCTGCGGCGGCGGGACGGTAAGAACAAGAGTGCAAGGGAAGCGGCCGCCGCACTCAGCGCCCTGCCCCCACGCTCTCCCCCGGCCGCCCGGGGTCGGCGTTGGCGTTGGCGGGACAGCGCAGCCGCAGCCGGGGCAGACGCCTGCCCAGGACGCCCTGCGACTCCGCTCTGAGGCCTCGGGCTTCGGGCAGGGGACGCTGGCGAGGGCTCGCAGGGCCACGCCCAGGAACCTGTGGGTGCAGCCTCCCCCCACCCGCAGCGGCCACCTCCAGCGTGCCACCACCTCGTGCCCACAGCCCAGCTCCCGTCCAAATACTTTTGCAACAAACTTTTCAGGAGCTGAAAAGTTTAAGAAACGCAGGGCGACGGTGTCTTTACCAAGCTTCAAATGGTAAATCGATTCGGTCGTGCTTGAAAGAGGCACGGCTGCTGCTGGGGTGACCGCGGCCACTCGTCTGGCCCCCAGGGCTCCCCAAAGTGCTCCTGTCCTTTGAGTTCCAGAGCAGTTAGCCGCTGGCCAAGGCTGGGGTCACGGAGCTCCCCTCCGCCCGCCGTCCGCCCCAGCAGGACTGGTTGGGGGCCTGGCCCTGACATGCGGAGGTGGCACCAAAGCACCCGCCCGCAGCAGACAGCCTGAAGGGGCGAGGGGGAGGTGGGCAGGTCCGGCTTTGGGGGCAGCTCACTGGTGAAGGGGCAGTCTCAGGCTGGTGCAGGCTCCAGAGGGGAGGCGGGCACTGGAGGCCCCGCCCCACCCGAGCTGACCATGCCGGGGAGGCCCCAAGCAGAAGGGGCTGCATGCAGCTCCGGCCCCATGCACAGGGCTGGAGAGGGTCTGCCACTGCCTGCCCAGTCTGGGCCGGGCGGGGGTGGGGAGCGACATGCAGGGTGTGAATGCGGCCAGCGGGCAGTGAGGGCCCAGGCACCGCTGACCTGCCGGGCCGCCTGCAGGCAACCGGGCTCCCCGGGAGGCTCACGAGGCGGAGGGGACAGGCACACGGGAGCCGGCACGACCGGCAGCCGCACCAGTGTCCGCGCTGCTCTTGTTGTGCTACTGGGGCCCCTGCACTCCGGGCTGGGCGCCGCTGCCCGGGTTAACACCAGCGCCCAGAGGCCTCTCGAGCCCTATGCGGGCTCTGCATGCAGGAGGCACAGGGAAGGTGGGCGGCGCTAAGCCCGCCTGGGCCTGCCCGCCGATACCGCGATGGAGACTCCATACAGGGCACCCCAGAGGGAAGCTGCCAAGTCACGATGAAATGCTGCAGGACCCGGGAGGCCCAGCACTTCCCAGATGGACACGGGGCGGCGGCCGCCCCCTCACTAAGCACAAGGCCAGAGATGGCTGCCATCGCTGGCCTGAGGGAGACCCGCGGCCGACCCCCTCACTGGCAGGCCAGACCTGTGTGGGAGGGTGGACCTGGGCCCGTGCTGGGCAGCCTGCCCCAGGTTGGGGCTGGGCCCCATCTTGCTCTGGGGGGGGGGTGCTTCTGGCTCTGCGAGTGCAGCTGGCATGGCCCCACCAGCCCAGGCGGCTCCCTAACAGCCAGCAGGGACAGACCCCAGCCCAGGCCGAGGTTGGAGCGCAGGTCGGCAGGGCCCCAGGGGCCAGCAGTGTCCCACCCCTCGTTCTCAAGAGGTGGAAGGGAAATCCACCCCCTCCAAGAAAACATTCCCAGGCATTCAGGGGTAGTTTTTATTGCTCTCAAGGGCTCGACTCCAAGCGCACGCTGCACGCAGCCTCAGGAGGTCGCACGAAGGCGCTGGCTGCGCCCCACCTGGGCGCCCGGCAGCCCCTGGGGTCCAGCAGCCTCAGCGTCGTGCAGGGGCGCAGGCGTGCATCCAGTGTGGGGTGCATGAGAGGCGCCGCCCCTCCTCCCGGGACACGTCTAGATGTTAGTGAGTTAGTGACACACACAGGCTGGGCGCAGCCCGCGGCCGGGGAGAGCCAGCGGCAGGACCCCTCGCGGGCTCAGCCTCCCAGGGTGGCTCTGGGGCCGGCTCGTCCCATGCCCCCGACCCACCAGGGCCTACGCTCTCGCGCTCCTGCTCCTGAGCAGAGAGATGGACAGCAGGGGTGCGGCTCTCGCCTGCCCATCCCCCGGGGACCGGGCAGGGTCGGGTGGGCCCTAGGAAGGACGGGCTCTCTCCACCGTCTTCCCACACGCCGACTGGGGGCCCGCGAGGGCTGCTGCCACGTTAGGTCTCAACTTCCCATGCTGCGCTCTTCCTTTTTTCTTTCTAGACGAGCCCACCGGCCCCCGTGCTGCAGGCTGGCTACAGCCCACCACAGACGAACGCCCATGATCCTTTGCCTTTCCCTTGCTAAGGGTGCGGGGAGCGTGGTGTGGAAGTAGCGGGGAGCTGCGGAAGGAAGTCCGTGCGAGCGGGGGCATGAGCAAGCCCGGGCTGCGGCCGCAGAGAAGGCCTAGGCGTAAGCCAAGCAGGGGCTGGGCCCTCCCCGGGGGGCGCGGGTCCCTGGGGAGATACCCTGAGGAGAGCCGCACAGGAGGGCACAGGCCGGGCCAGGACGGGGACTCACACACCAGCTTCAGGGGGGTGGGGGGCTCAGCATCCCTCGTTTTCATCACAAGTTGAGAGCCTTCAACATATCAGCTACAAAAATAAATACTCTCCAAGCGGACGAGCACGAAGTGACAGCCGCCCGCCGCCTGCGGCCCCGGCCGCCTTCCTCTGGGGCCCTCTGGGCTCTGCTCAGCTGGGCCCCAGCGCCGGGGGCTGAGCCGGAGACAGCTGCAGGGGAGAGGATGGGGGCCCGGGGCGCAGGCGAGCGCTGCCCCCCCGGGGGTGAACACAGGGCTGGGGGGGTCACACATGGGCCCTGGGGAGGAGCCCGGGTGCGCTGCAGCCGGCCCCAAGGACTCGGCGTGTGCTCATCACTAAGGGACTTTCCCCGGCGCCCACCGGGTCTGGAGCCAAGTGCGGGCCAAGCGGAGCAGACGAGCAGGCCTGGGCCGGGACCGGCCGCAGCAGCTCCCGGGCTCCAGGAGTCGGGAGAGACGGTGTGCCGGAGCTGCGGAGAAGCGGCGAGGGCCAGGGCACATTCCCAGAATAACTGCTAAAAATTGGATCGGAGTTTAAGAAGAGGAGGCGTCCAGGGCTCCCTCGGGCGGACGAGGGCTGGGGACACCTGGGGTGGGGCCGGACCCCGGCCCGCACCGCCCCCGCCAGGCCGGAGCCGCGCCCGACAGGCGGCGAGCACGGCGGCTCCTCAGCTGGCAGGTCTTCCCATCTCTCGCTCTTGGCTCAAGTTTTATTGGTTAATATTAGTCACCAGTTAATAAGAAAAACAGTTTCTCAGCCTCTCCTCACTGCTCGGTGCCGTCCGCGTGACTGGATCGAGGGGACCCGCCGTCGGGCGAGCACAGCCGCAGCCGTGGTCACTCCTTTTTCTTGAATTCCTGGTTCCCATAGCTGGACCCTTTCTCTATCTCGGTCACTCCTATTAGTCGTCGGACCGCAAAGGAAGCTTGAAGACAGGAGAAGGCCGGTCAGGTGCCCTGCCGGCGGCCACGCCGCAAAGACCCCGGCCCTCTCCCTGCCCCCGCGCCCGCCCAGTGTCGGGGCCGTACCCCCAAGGGGAACAGGCAAGCCGGGCCTGCCAGGTCGGGGGCTGCGGGGCTCCAGACTGCCTGGGCGGCCGGCACGGGGCGGGGCCTGTGTCAGGGCGGGGGTGGCGCCAAGGCCCCGAAGCCTCCAGACCGTCACCCGAGTCCCTGAAAGCCCAGAGCCCCCACAGAGCTCTCCGGGCAGGGGCCCTGGTGCTGAGTGGCCAGAGCCTCCCCCTAAGCCCGCCCGGTGGGATGGGGTCCCAGCTCCCCGAGGCCCCACTGCACCCACCAGGGAAGACCCGACAGCTCGAGCCGCGTCCGTTACCTGCCCCAACGAAGCCCAGGAAGGTCAGGATGAGGAGGGGAGAGCCGCTGGCAAAGACGCCCAGGACAAAGCTGAAGAGCGGGGACAGGAGGACGGTGGCCCAGCACAGGAAGTTGAGCAGCGTCCACAGCCGCCGCGGGGGCTTGTGCTGCTCCCCGGGAAACACGCCCTTCTGGTTGTACATCTCCTGCAGCGCGTCCTGGGGGCGGGAGAGGGCGCGCACAGGCCGGCCAGATGGGCGGGGGCCTCGGGGGACACCTCTGCCCGAGCCTGGAGCGTGCGATAGGCCCGACCTCTGACCCGGCAGGCCTCCTAGGACAGAACCGCGGCAGGCACGGCGCAGACCTGGCCGCCAAGGCCTGGAGGTGTGGTCTCCCCACGCTGCGGGCCTCTCTTGGAAACCAGAGAGATTCGCCTGGAGCCACGTTTTACTCGACACTTAGCCCGTTCTCCCTGAACTGCTATTAGCAGGAAACCACCCCACACCCACTCGGGGCAGGCCTGGGACGGCGAGCCAGCAGGGGGCGGTCGCCCGGGCGCAGGCGACTGTCCTCAGTTTACCTCCCCGAGGCCAGCCCTGGTTCACGTGGGGTCGCCAGGGCCAACCTCCAGCCCCGGGGGAGGCCGGAGCCTCATCTCTGCAGCACGTGGCGGGGTCAGGTGTGGGGCCCGCACGGCCAGGAGCAGAGCACGCGGGGCGGCAGGGCCAGCCCCTTTCTTGAGCCCTAGGGATCCCCCTGTTCCCCACGAGCCGTCACCGCATGTAAAGGAGGCCCCTACACACTGGAAGGTGCTCCTGACCCTCGGCCTCCCAGCGCGTAAAGCGAAACGTCTGCGTGTGTGTGCGTGTGTGCGTGTGGCGTGAGCTGGAGCCGGGCGGGCGCGGCCCTGGGGCCCCTCCTGCTGCCCCACACCCCACACACGTGCGCAAGTGAAGGCAACGTGGTCAGACGCTGGAGGTGATCGCAAGAGCTGCTGTCCTTACGTATTCCTTCAGTTTGTTTTTCACAAGTTAAGAAAAATGAAAGCAGAAAGGACGCCAAGAAGTGACACCCAGGCCTCCCCGGGGGCGCAGGGGCTAAGTCTCAGCACCATGAAGCCGGCCGCAGCCTCTGCTGCACGAGTTCCATCCCCAGCCGGGGAGCTACCCGCAGGGCGCGGCAGACCCCTCCTGTCTCCCCGCGGCTGCCCTCAGCAGTGTGTTTCAGTGGATCTGCCTGTTCCGCTCCCCGCTCTGTCTCTGGGGAGTCCTCTCACCAGAGGACCTTGATTACAGTTATATAGTTCCATTTTCCACTACAGCTTGCGATAAAATACCAAACCTGAATCTCTGGCCCGTGCCCCAGCTCTTGTTTGCATAAATAAATCTTTAAAAAAAAAAAAAAAGTGACGCCCGCCCCACCCCGGAAGCCCTTCGAGACCCCGGGGGAGCCGAGTGCCTTACCTTCTCCTGGTACAGCTTGTGCAGCCACTGGGCTGCCTCCTTCTCGTCCAGGGGGATGTCTTCCAGGGGAAACCTCCTGTTTCATTAAGATGGAAAGCAGGGTGAGGAGCCAGAAGTCAAACTGGAAAGCGGAAGAGGAAGCCAGGACACAGGGCCCGCGTGCCGGCCCACCCGCCTCACGTCAGGAAAGCAAGAGCCGCAGGGCTGAGAACTCTAACCCCAACTCTCCGGCAGCTGGCTTCAGCGAGGGGCCCTGAGTGTCCGGGACTCTGCGGGGCCCAGGAGGAAGGGAGGGCAGTCGCCCCGCCCCAGGCCGCCAGGCAGGGACGCGGGGCACACACAGAGCAGGACTGACCCCCTGGGGGGGCCCCTGGACGAGCATGAGTAACTCCTGGGGACGCCTCTGCGGCTGCAGGTGCAGCCCTTCGTGTCTTAGGGTAGCGCGAACTCTGTCTAAACAGAGAACTTCTGTCGGCTGTCCCCACGGGCCGTAGCTGCATGACCGGACCCTGCGCCCCCACGAGCCACAGGGGGAGCCCCACCCCACCGGCCTCTGGGAACCCCAATCACAAGAGGAGTGACAGGCGCTCCGACTCCCCACAGCCGGCCCAGCCCCCAGCAGTCTCCAACCCCAGCCACCACAAACCCCAGAAGGAAAACGCTTCTGGTTTTGTGATGGTCACAAAGTCAGTCTGGGCAGCCCTGGGGAGCTGGCCGGGAGGGCCGTGTCCCTCCCTCACTGGAGTGGCACAAGCTCATGGCCGCGTGAGGGCAGCCAGGCCCGGGCAAGGAGAAAATGGGCAAGACTCGGCTGTTTACATTGGCCACAGGAGTGGCTGCCTCTCTGGACACGTGTGAATGAAACAGGAGCTTGGCCAATTCAAAGAAATGACCAGAAAAACGGGCCTGGGCGGCTGGCGCGACAGCTGGCAGAGGGGGATAGGAAAGCGCTTTGCCAGTTTGGGTTTATCAGGACCTTTCCAGGACTTCAAAGGGGCCGTGATAACCGCCACCGCTGCTGCAGACCAGCTGTCCAGCAGCCCAAGGACTCCCCGCTTCAACGCGGCACCAGCGATGGCTGCCAAGTGGCCACTCGCCATCGCAGAGGTGCTGGGGCGGGCTGTCTGCCTCCCGGGCAGCGACGCTGGACGCTGGGGCCGCCTGTGAACCGCCTCTCCCCAGGCCACTCGGCGGGCAGCGGGCGGCCACACAGACCCCAATCCTGCCTCCTCCCTGTCTCTCTTCCGGGGCGCTCTGGAGGGAACTTGAGGGGCCCTTCCTTCCTCCGCCTCCTTTCCTTTCAGACGCGAGACCCTCACGTCTGGGGTGGAGCCACAGTGGCAGCAGGGACCTCCCGCTGGCGGCCCCACAGGAACGCTGTGCCTGCCCCCAGGGGTCTGCTGGTCCCCTCACGCAGGGGACCAGCTCCTGCACACACGGAGCAGCACCGAGCAATCTGACAATATTTAAAGGGCCCGGGGGGGCCTCCCCTCGGGGATCCTGGGGTGCCCGAGGCTCTGCATTCACCAGTGCCTGTGTCCTGCCAGCGGGCCCAACACTCAACAAGCGGCAGCGGGTGGGCCCAGCTGTGGCCCGACCCAGTCTTCTCTCGGGCTAGAAAGGGGATCCCTGGGGGCCTGGTCGGACTGGGAAGGTTCGTCCTCTGGGCCCACCCCAGGAGGCTCTACTTGAGCCTCTTCCAAAGCCCCCGCCCTTGGGCAGAAGGGCCGCTCCTCCCCACAGCCCCGGGATTCCCTGCCTTTAGCCCACACCCCCTCGGGGTCCGCCCTGCAGCCGCACAGCCAAGGCCGGAGCACCGGTCGGGCAGGCTCACCTCACACACATGTCGGCCTCGTACTTCTTCCCGTAGAGGATGCCCAGCAAGGACGGGATCTTCTTTCCCCGGAAATTCAGCGTGACATCGTAGACAGCCGAGACTGCGGGGGGCAGGGGTGAGCGCACGCCCAGGGCACCCCCTGCACGCCCGGGCACTGCGGCCTGGGCGCCCTGGGCCGGCGTGGACCGTGGCTGCGTGCGGCGTGGCGCCCGGCGGCCATCTGTGCCGCTGCCCTGTCTGTCCCCTCGGGCCCTTCTCCAGCCTCGCCTCCTCCCGACGGACCAGTTCTGTTTCCTCTAAGTCTTCCAGGCACACGCTCTTTGGCCGACGGTCCTGGTGCCCGCCGCTAATGGGCGCCCTAGCGAGGAGGCCAGGCCCTATTCCCCGCCGCCAGCCGCCCTCCATGGGTGGAAGCGCAGGCAGCCCCAGGTGTGTCTGGACAGAGCCCCCTTCCCGTGCCCGCCCGCCCCCTGCCCGGCAGGCGCGCTCACCTGTCCCGCGGAGGCACTGCACCGCGGTGGTGAAGCCCTTGGTGCGTGGCAGCAGGTGGTACTTGAGCGCGGGCAGCCCCTTGGAGGCGGCCACCTCCATGCTGACGCGGTGCTTCTTCTCGGTGAAGCGGGTGCCCTCACAGTAGAGGAGGAACTAGGACCGGCAGGGACAGGGTTAGGGCGCTGTGCAGGCGGCCCTGGCGCTGAACCCCCGCTGGCGGCCCAGCCGCAGGGGCACCCGCGGCTCTGCCAGCAGGCGTGACAGGGTCACTCCAGGGACGGACCCACGTGGCTTCTCGTGGGGCTGCGATCGGCACCCACACAGATTCCCTCACGGAACAGCTACTGACATGTCACTTGCTCTCAAGGAACACAAAGGACAACTTTGCAGAAAGGCGCGGTGCCGGGGAGGCGCGGGGTCTGGGCAGCAGCCTCCGGTCAAGGAGGGCAGAGAGCCCGCTCAGCCGTGCATGGAGCCAACAGAAACGAGGGCAGCCGCTTCCCCAAGGGCCGCCGGCCCCAGCCAGGTTGGCGGCGAGGGGCAGGGCAGAGGACATGGTGATGGCTGGCGTCCCCTCCGCTCCACCAGGGGACAGGAGAAGAGCCGGGCTCTGCGCTGCGGGGGCGTGCTTGGGCGTGGGGGCCTGCTGCAGGGGCCCCGGGGTTTCCTCGGGAACCCGGCTCAACAGAGAACCTCCCAGGAGGAGCGGCCACTCAGCCCGGGCGCTAGGCTGGACACTGGGCAGATGCCCATGCACGCCAAGGAGCTTCCAACTCCCTGCCCCCAGCTGAGCCGTGCTCCCGGGCAGGGCAGGTCCAGGAGAGGCTCCAAGCCTGCACACGGAGGGCGGCGCCTGCCCCGGGCCTCCCACCCTCTCAGCCCCGCGGCTCCCCGGGACGCACCCACATGTGCTCGGGGTAGTCCGACAGGCGCCTCAGCCCCGAGATGACAGTGTCCCGGTCCTCCTCCCACTTCCGCTTGCAGAACACGATTTCCAGGAAGTACCACGTCCAGCCGATGAGCGGCACGTACAACAGCTCCCGCTTGGCCAGGACTTTGGAGCTCTGGGGGGAAAGGTCAGTGCACCAGGGCTCCCTGGACCGGCTGGGCACCGGTGACTTCCGCAGGGTGCCCCGGACTCAGAGCGCGGCCCCGCCGGGATCACACCAGCCCCACTCCAGACAGGGGACGGGGCGCAGGCATGGCGGGCCGGGCCCTGGCCGCAGTGGGCTCCTGGACCTCCTCAGAGGTGGGTGAAATTCACAGAGGCAGCCCTGGTCCCCGGGGAGCTGGGGGAAGGGCAATGACAGCTGACTTGGCCTGGGTGGCCGAGGCAGGCAGTGGGCAGTCCAGGGACCCAGGTCAGCACACATTCAGCCCCCAACTCAGAGGAGCCGCAAGGAAGGAGCACCCAGAGCACGCCAGCACCTCCGGGCCTATGATCACCCCCAGCTGCCCGCCCACACTCACCCGCAGCTGCCCGCCCACACTCACCCCCAGCACGCCGAACCGCTCACACATGGTCCAGCCGCAGAGAAAGTCGATCTCAAAGTTGTGGTTGAGGATGACCACCACGTGCTCCTTCCCGAAGTGCTCCACGGTGGCCCGGTCGGTGAAGAGCGTGCACTCCGTGCAGGACCACCACTCCAGGAGCATGACCAGCTCTGGGGGGAGGGGAGCGGGCACGGTGAGCCAAGGCCCACCCGCCACATGCCCTGCCAGGCCCGTCCAGCATGGGCCCGTCCGTAGAAACGTGTCTGGAGCTTATGTTCCGCCAGACACATTTCCAATTTATAACCGCCCCCTCCGGCAGGGGGAGACCATGACGAGGCCCAGGGGAGGGCTCCGTCCTTGACACTGGGGCTGTCCGATCACCACCTCGCATGCCGTGGTCGGACGGGCTCGGTGCGGGCACAGGGCCAGCCACGCCCCAGCCAGTGCCCATGCCAGGCTCAAGCCCACCAGCCCTTGGCCCTCAGGGCCAGGTGCCAAGAGTGGTTCTGAGCCCGACTGCCTGGCCTCGGTTTCCCCAGGTGCACAGAGGGGCACAGCGGCTCCGGCACGCAGCTGCTCCGGAGGAGACCCTACACCCCAGCGGCCTCGGGGTGTGAGTTCCACCCCGACAGGGCGTGAGACACAGGTCTGGGCGCCAGGCAGGAGGAGGACGGGGCTGAGGACACGGCACTCACCAGTGGGCGGTGGCCCACGTGTCGGCTCCAGGGAGGAGCACGCTCCGCAGCTACGGGTGCTGGGGGCGCGGGGGACTGGGGGCCAGCCAACAGCCCCAAGGAGGAACCAGCTGGCTGGCTGTTGCATCCGGGCACTGCACCGAGCTGAGGCCGCATGGGGACAGCAGGCTGGCGGGCAGGCCTTCCGGGATGACTGACAGCGGCCGGCAAGCCACAGCGACCTCGGCTCCAGGTTCGCGGGCAACGGCGCGGGGACACAGCGAGGCGCAGCCCCCAACACGGCCCCCAAACCCCAGAGAAACCACACATCCACACAGAGCGGGGCGGCTGGGGCGGGCGTGACAGCCGGTCACCCGCGGGCCCTCGCCGGCGCCAGCACGGGGCGGCTGGGAGGGTGGGCGCAGTCAGGGCTGGATGTGAGGGCAGGCCCGGGTGGCCGGGGACAGCGCAGGCAGTGGACCGTCCGCCCGGCCGGCGGGCCCTGGGAGAGGAGGGGGACGGGGCCGCACAGGACGAGGCCGCTCGGCTTCCACGCCTGTCACGCGTGTGTATTTTGCTGCTTGAACAGGCCACGCGGTCTGTTTCCTTCTCCCCCCACTCTGTCTCGACCGCGGATTTAAAAAGCTTAAATCATGTCCAGGCGCAGCACGGTGGCGAGCCTTCCCGGGGAAGACGGTGGCACCAGGCCGGGCTCCAGGCAGCGTGGCTCGGCTTCCGCCTGAGCCCACAACCCGGGAGAGGCGCCCCCCTGGAGGACCCCCACGCGGCCAGGAAGTGGTGAAGCTGAGCACCCCAATGTCAACAGGACACCCCTGAGCAGCCAGCTCAGCACGGGAGGCCGGGGGCCCTGTGTGTCTGTGCCCTGCCAGCTCTGGGCGTTGAGCCCTGTCTCCTGAACTTCTGCGCCAGGCTGACGCGTCTCCTCCCATCTCGTCTTTACTTCTTAACCACCTTTATCTAGCGGTTCAGAAGGCACTTCTGGTTTCTCTTTTCTGCCCCGCACTCAGCTAACAAAGTTCAAAGTTGCAGCCCCCACTTCCTTCCTCACCTGCTCACCCCAACACAGGCCACACCTGTCCGGGGGGTGGGGCTCCTGCCCCACGAGCTGGGCGCTGTTGCTACTTTACATGATGCTCACGTGCGCGGGGCCAGTTCCTCATCTCCCCCCACGGCTCCAGCACAGCCTGCCCCTGGGACGGTTGTGCCCCGGGAAGGCTGTGCCCTGGGGGGTGGGCCTTGGGGAGGGCTGCGTGCTATCATGCCCCCACTCTTGTTTGCTGGAGCTGTGTCCACACCCCTCTGCGGCCCTCGCCAGCCCATGGCCGCGTCTGGCGGTGTCGCCTGCAGCCTCGCCAGGTGAGTTTCTGGCCGTTGATCCTGCGAGGTCGAGCTCATTTTCAGGAGCTACAGACTTTTGCAGGAACCTGCTCACCCTCGCTGGTCCTTGCGGCTTCTCTGTGCCCCTCCTGCGAGCCCCGGCCTGCCCGGGGGCACCGGGGCACTGCGGCTCGGGGCCCAGGTGCTGGCTGTGCCAGGGCGGCCTCTCCCATCATGCCCTTCCTCGCTGGTGGTCCTGCGCAGTCCCAGTCCCTGGGCCACCCTGTGAGACCCGGGGCACAGCTCCACCTGCGCAGGTCCACTGGCTCCTCCGGGCCCGGCGCCGGCCCATCTGCGGGGTGCTCAGGGCTCGGACCGAGCCCGGCCGAGGGTGCTGCTCAGGCCCGAGCCCACCTCCGCCATGCTGAGCCTGGACCCATGCCCGGGCTGGGCTCCGGCACAGTGGCAGGGACGCTGTTTCAGCACCCCTTTCCTCACAGGGCAGGGGCACCCCTTTTTTTTCAGCACCCTTTTTCCTCACAGGCAGAAAGCTCCCGTCCTCACTGTGCGCTCGGCAAGGCCTGAAAACTGGCTTGAACCAGGACATGACTGTTCGGGGCGTTTTATCTCCAAGCTACAGCCATGGGTGGCGCCTACAGCTGACTGTGTGACCAGGGCCTGCCCTGTGGAGGGTGCCCAGCCCACCCGCAGGCCCAGGAGGGACCGGGTCCTCCCCCGCGGCAGCGCTGCATCTCCCTTCCCGCAAGGAGCGAGTGGATTCTCCAGTCCCGCTTGCTAGAAGATGCCCACGCGTGCCCAGCGCGTGGAGAGCCTCTCCACGGGGCCGAGCGGTCCAGGGGGCTGAATGGCCTCCCACCGGCCCACCGCCAGGATGGACTGGGGCCTGGGCGCCCCGCCCTAGTGCAGGCCCGGACCTGTACCGTCACGCCCAGCCCGCCTGCGTGCCCACAGCCCAGACACTCACGGCTCCAGAGCGAGTAGGCCAGGCGGCAGTTGAGCCAGCGGTACAGCTGCTTGTTCACGGGCCAGAGGACAAGCGTGCACAGCTGGGTGAAGTTGATGAGCAGCCCGCTGACCACGAAGACGAAGCCGATGAGGAGGTGCACCACGAACTGGGTCTTCAGGTAGGCAAGCAGGCCCATGGTCGCGCTCAGGGGCGGCTGCACGGTCCCTCGCTAAGCACGGCCGCCCTGCAAAAGGCCGTGGTTAGGGGCCTGGCCGCAGGCCCAAGAGGGACCGTGCCCTGCCCAGCGCCCAGACCAGGGCCTGACGGCCAGCTCCCCGGAGCTGCTTCTGACGGTGACACACGGGGCACGCGGGCTCACCCACCCCTTCATGCACACACCACACTCCCATACACCACACGCATGCACACGGCACACGCACTGCACACACATGTGCACGCGGCACACATGCACACACCACACATGTGCGTGCGCGCTACACACATATGTGTACACCAGAAATGCACGTCACGAGTGCGCACACTGCACACGCGCCGCACGTGCAAGCACCAGAGCGAGTGGCGGTGCGGGAAGGCGAGCCCGGAAACAACACCGAGAGCTGGCGGTCACAAGAGTCATCTCGAGGCACTGCAGCTCCTCGCTGAACAGGCCGAGCCTGCACACGGACCCACAATCTGCCCACGACAGCCGCCAGCGCCTTGCTGCCCGCCGCCCACGGTGAGGCCAGGCTAGGGTGCTGTTCTCTGGCAGTGGGGACTGTGGGGACCCTGGGGACTCCGCCCCACCCCACCCCACCCCGCCCCTCCCCAACACACTTCTGGGCTCCAAAACTGAGCGAGCTGGTGCTTCGCAGCTGTTGCTCCGCAGGCGGCCCCGTAATCCCCTGCCAGGAAGCAGGCGAGGCCCCACGTGCCCGGGCGGGAGGAGGTGTCCCGCTCCCTCTGGGGGTGCGGGGGGGCACTCCACTCTGCAGACAAGCACACCAGGGTGCCCAGGTCCCCATCATCACCGCTAGCACCCCATGCCTGCACGGGGGCCCTCCCCCAGCTCTGAGGGCCACACCGGCACAGCTGCGCTCCCACAGGCCATGGGTGTGGGGCGACGCCGCGGGAGCCTCGCCCCTCCCTTCTAAAGGCGAAGTCGACACCCCCAACCCCCGGCTGTGGGGCCCTCCCCATGGCTGAGGAGCACCGACAGGCTCCTGCGGCCAGGTCAGGGGACGCTCCGGCCGCCGGGCCGCAGGGTGGGGACACTGGCTGGAGGGCCCGGGGATGCCGAGCCGCAGCCCAGCTGACCCTGCAGCGCAGGAACCCGAGCGCGAGCCCCGGCCGGCGTGGAGGACGTGCTGGAGTCGGGGTCGGCGCGCGGGGGCCACCTACGGGTGCGGCAGCACAGGGGCTCCGGGCTCTCCACCGCGCGGTGACGCCCACTCTCACGCAGGCTGCAGGGGGTGGGGTGGATGCCACGGTCTGCACCGCGGTGAACACCTCCCCAGGCCGCTGCGCCACTGCCCTGAGCAGCCCAGCCGCAGGGCAGCGTGGCCTCGTGACTTGTCCAGGCTCACACGGGAGAAGCCAGCCGTCCCCACCCAGGCCGGGACACCTGAGACCAGGTGCGGTGAGCAGCGGCTGCAGCCCCCGCAGGGATGGGGGTCCCTCTGCAAGGCGGTGCCCAAGTGCGAGCCGGGCCGAGGCCGCTTCCCTTTCACAGACAGAGGGTCTGAGGCGGCCGCCCCCGCGGGCACGCAGGCCGCCTGCAGCAGAGCCCTCTCCGCTAGCAAGGGGGGTGCCGGTCCCAGCCCTGGACGCCGGCGGAGCGGCTGGCCAGGCGGAGACAGAGGACGCAGGGCGACAGGAGGAGACGGGGCTGAGACGGGTGCAGGAGGCAGGGCCTGCTGCTCAGCTCGCGCCGGGGACCTGGGGGGCGGGGAGGAGCCCCCTGGAGGAGACTCGCGGACACCCCTACAGAGACTGTGGGGAGAGACCGGGGAGGCGACGGGCAGCCTCTGTCGGAACTCGGGTGCCGATCTGCTGCTTTCCCCCGGACCCGCTGCCCGCCCCCCGCCCGCTCCCAGGGCCCTCTGGGAGGGGCCTTGACGGGGCAGGTTTTCGGGCCCCTGTCTGTCAGGGCGCTGACCCCCGAGGGGACAGATGGGCGGCTCTGGGCGTTTTATTGGGAAACTGCATGGACCTGCCACGCTTCTGTTGAAGGCCTCACGCGCTCAGAGTCCGCTTTGTCTTTGAGCGCTGATGGCCAAGCCCCTTCAGAGCATGCAGATTTGGGGGGCCCAGGGTACCCCTCACTCTGCTAACATGCCCGCCCCATCCCCGGTCAGGGCACATAGCGTGCCCCGGGCCAGAATGACCGGGCCTTGGCGAGCGCAGGCTCGAGCTCTGGCTCCGCCACCCCCTTCATGGAGGACACCTCGCACGGTTCAGAGGTCACGGGGGCAGCGTGCCCACCCTCCCCAGTGTGCACCCCCCGGCCAGGCCCCTTCCTGAGGTGCGGGGCAACGTACCCTGGCGTCTGGGGGCTCGGCCCGCAGCTGGGCTGACGGCCAGTGTTCCCACTGTGTGCCGCAGTGATGGCCACAGCCTGGCCATGCGGGGGCCGCCCGGCCCGCCTGTCGCAGGGGACCTGCAGGCTCTGACCGCTTCCTCTCGGACCTTCCGGAGAGCGGCGGCCCACCGCCCCTGGCAGCGAGGTGCCGCGCAGGGCGTGCTCGGCCCCCAGCCAGGCAGAGCGGGAAAGCACCAGGAAGGGGCCTGACCAGGCCCCGGTGTTGGCCGCACCCCGTAGGATTTCTTAAGCCTGCGCCCCCACACAGACTCACGCTGCCACACACGCCGGGGGCAGAGACACTGGCATTGGGTGATATTTCCTTTTTACAGAAGCTTTATTTCTGAGACGCGGGCCACGCCGCACGAGCCCTGCCCCACCCGCCCCCAGCTGCCCCGGCCGGCCCAAAGCTGCCACCCCGCCCCGCCGCTCTGCAAGGACGGGTGCGTGACCACAGACGCTGCCGCTGTCTCTTCTGAGCGGAAGACTAAGAGGCGGAGAGCTGGGGCGGGGGCAGGGGTCATCCGCCCGGACCACCCCAGCCTGCGGGGGCGCCTGCGGCCCTCCGTCCCCTCCTCCCCCTCGGAGGACGCCACAGGACGAGGCCGCGGGCCGCACCCCGGGCACAGGGAAAGGCGCCGTGCCCCGTCCCCGGTGCAAAGCCCGGCATCCCCCGGCTTCTGCAGGTAAAAGGTGACGGGCCGGACGGGCATCTCCGGCCGGCACCCCACGCTCTGCAGCCCGCGCCCCTCGTGGCCGGGCGCTCCGGAAGCACACGGGGACATTCAGAAGAGCGTGTTGACCATGAGCCCCGAGGGCGATAGACACCGAGGCCTGAAGGCCCTGGACACCGGAGCCTGACGGCCTACGCCTGTCCCGAGCCCTTCACGAGCCCACAGGTCTGATGTCAGGCGCCCGGCGGCGCCACAGAAACGTGGTGGTGCTGGGCAGGGAGGGCGTGGCCGTTTCTTGTTTCTGCTTCCGATGGACTGTGAGTTCGGATCGTTGAAACCCACAAATAAAAAGTTCTTCTCACCCTGAAATCCAGCCCCGGCGTCTGGAACATCAGGAAAGACGCTCCCGGCGTATCTCCCCACCTCCGCCAGACACGCGGACCAGCTCCCGGCTGGGAGGCGTCCTGCCCTCCCCGGCTGCCCTGGCGTGCCCACCGCGCACGAGCTGTGTCCCCACAGGGCCGGTGAGCGGGGCCCCGGCCCAGCACCTCAGACTCCGCTGTCCGGAAATAAGGTCTTACAGAGGCGGGAGGGCCACTGCGGCGGGCCCTGGCCCCGACGGGTGTCCCTTCAGGGAGACGAGACCAGGCCCCGTGCCAAACGCAGAGCAGGGGCCACCTGAGGACACGGGCAGCCCCCCTCCGCCCCGGCCACGCCCACAGGTAACGGCTGCCTGCAGACGAGGCGCTGCGTCCACGGGCTCGGCCCGGCTTCCGTCCACCGGCCCCCACAGCGCCGCCACCGCTGCCACCAGGCAGGAGCCACACCGGCGCTGCCCGCTGCCACCCCCGGCACCTGAGCTGGCCCTGCTGCCCTGGCCCCTGGGCCCGGGGGGACGCAGCCCATGTGCCTGCTCGGGGAGCGCCACGCCGGGTCCTGCCCAGCCTGCAGCCCCCCGAGCCCAGCACACAGCGGCTGGCGGAGCGGGAGGTGGGGAGACAGGCCGAGAGAGGCTCTCCTGGCGTTCCAGGTGCTGGGACTGGACTGCAGGGTGCGAACTTTTCACTCGTGGGTTTCAGTGATCCGAACTCACAGTCCATCTGAAGGAGGATCAAGAAACGGCCGCGCCCTCCCTCCTTCCTCGAGCCCTGCGGCTGGTGACACGGGGGCGGGAGCCCCAGGTTTCTGGTCAGCGAGTGCGGCCCTGCGCTCCGAGTGAGTCAGGAAACGCCCGGAGACGGTCCAGGAGGAGGACCGGCAGGGGACACGGGACGGCGGGGACAGCCCGCCCCGGTGGGGTGCGGGCCCGAGGAGCGGCCTGGGCCGGGCACACACGGTCCGAGCACAGCGGAGACCAGGAGCAAACCCTGCCCGGGAGTTACGGGGCGAACGCTCCTCGCAGGCGCCCGCCCCGGCCCGCCCCGCTCCCGCTGGGAACACAGCCCGGCCGGCCTCACGGGGACTCCCGCCCGCCGCTGACCCGAAGCCCCGGGGGAGACGGGGCGGAGGGGTGCTGGAGGCGGCCACGCCGCGGACGCAGTCCGGAGGGGCAGGGAGCGCCGGCGGGCGGAGGGCCGCGCCGGGGAGCAGGGCCGGGCCGCGCGGTGACATCGCCGTGAGGACGTAATGCGGCACGGTCGCCCCCGGCCCAGCCTGCCGCCGGCGTGGAGGGAAGGGCCGAGGCCTCCGCGCCGTGTGATCCAAGAGACGCATGCAGGCCGGTATAGTGAAGAGCCCAACCCAAACCTTCGGGTCCGTAAGCACCGCCCGCGCCGCGGTGCGGAGGGGCTGCCTTCAGATTCAGGTCATCCCCGCGCAGAGACACCCAGTCCTTCAGGAAGGCTGCGAGCCACGACCTAGTTCTTGGCTGAGAATCATCTCCTCGGCCCAAGCCCAGCGCGACCAGAGCCCACGGGCAGCACAGCGGGCAGGCGGAGGCCTCGCTGCCCGAGGGGGAGGCTGCGGCCGTCAGACCCGAGAGGCCTGACGGTG